TCACTGTGTGAGTGGCGGCTTGGCTTTTCGGGCTATTTGCTCTGCTTTCTTCCTGCTTTCTCTGCGTGGCTAACGGTTCTCTGCCTGTTCTTCTGCTGCTTTCTGTTCCATGTTTGTTGTTTCTGCTTCTGGCTGTTCTGTTGTCAAGCTTGACTTACTATTAAACTCGTTTTTGTATCGTTATCCCTATCGTTAATCCTTATCTTCGCTTTAATAGAATGTCTCATTAATCAACTGTTCCTCTCTCTGTCTGGCTACCTTCATCGGCTGCTGCTGTTGCTCTCTAACTTTTACGCGCCTAACAATTGAAGAAAAAAAAACTGTTTTTGTATGTATATGCCTAAAGAAAACTCCTTTCAATATGTAGGTAAAATCCCTTCTCATAATAGACAAAAAAAAATGTTTTAAAAAAATAATAAAACTTGATTTGTACTCATGTTTGTACCGCTAAAAAACGTTTTTCCCTTCTTTTCGTTTAGTTTTCCTTTGTAAATATTTATATATATGTACATATATAAAAAAATATTCCTTTTTAAAAAAGTATTCTTCCCTTAATCCGTGTTTTATAACATTTTTTTATGCTTGTAAAGAGTTTATCTTTTTTATCGATATCGATTTACCTCTTCCTTCCTTTTATTTCATATCATTTCACTGCATTTTTAAAGAGTACAAACTTGCTTTTTTTCGTTTAATGTTAAATTATATTTATAAATCAAAATTAAATTAAATCTTCTGAATTCCAGTAGCAAAGCAAATTGTTGTTGTTTATTATTCGGGTTCTAAACATATGTGTTTGGGACTTTTAATCCCAAAGAAATCGGCTGTCGAAGTACTTTTGTGGGTTGGTGTGTGTTTTTGTAATGTTGGTTCTTGCGCGTGTGTGTGTGTGTGTATATATGTTTGTGTATAAAATGTACATCAAAAGCATTTTTTTGGTTGTCGTTAAATAATAAAAGTTTTTTTTTTATAAGTTTAAATTTTTTTGTTTTGTTTTAGTAAGTAATTTTTATAGTTTAAATAGTTGTTAAATTTAAAAACGAGTTTATCACACCTTAAACGTTATCAGTACTTGGCACAACTTACAACACAAAAAAGTACTTTTCTCATTTTTCTTTTTTCTCTTTCCCATTTTTTTTTTTCGCTCAATGGGACAATTTAATTAAACGTTTTCCGGAAAGAAAAACCGAAACAAAATTGGCATGAGTGATGGGAAAATGTTTGAAAAATAGAAACAGGATTGTCGAAAAATGCAATGTATAGAATTGGTATGCAACCTTGCAAGTAGATTACAACCCAAAAGTTTTGTAAATTTGGTGTCGACTGTACTCTGGGATTTCGAAATGCTACACTCATGCCAAGTTCTGGTTTTTCGAGTTATGCCCAATTTTTCCGATTTCCCATTGGGTTAAAATTTAACTTGCTCATACTAAACCGCCTTTCAATTTTCGTTTTTCCTGCTGGTATTTTTCGCTCTCATTGCTCTCGTTCTAACCGTTGCCTCACTTTCCTACCTGCTTTAATAACGATATAAAATAGCCTCTAAATACTAAAAAATAATTTCGTTTCTGCATTTCACTCTCCTCACAATCGCTTTCCCTTCGTCGTTCTTCAACTGAGTTCTCTTTCTACATCATTATCATTATCTTTATTCTCATCTTTGTCTTCGTTTTTAACGCGCACGCTTACTCACAAGTTTTTAGTTGTTCCTTCGATCTTTTTCCTCATTTATATTATGTTTATCGTGTTAAACCCCCTGTCGAAATAAACCAGAGCTATAGCTAAATTATTAACTCGTCCCTTTCATCGGTCTGACTTTTCTTTGATTCAGCATTTGGAATAATAATTTTCATTTCTTTGTTCTTTCCTTATTGGAATCTTTTAGAAAAATTCCATTCGTTCTTTATAAATATCGTTTTTAAGCATAGATCCACATATCTATATATAGATATATATGTATATGTATGGGTCTTTATATTGACAGCTTTGGACATTTTTCCGTAGAAAAAAAAGGAAGGCATAATTAATTAAAATAATTAATCATTATAAACAAGTGGCAAAATGCATTAAATGTATATACATATATTATATATATATATATATATATATATATATATATATATATATATATATATATATATATATTATAGATTCTCAAGTATAACAAAACAAAATGTCACGCATTTTCAACATACACATATATATCGCATATATATACATATATAGCGGCTTGATTCTCGTATATAAAGATCAATGTTAGTGCCCAGCAATATTCTTATATACACTTCCCATCCCCTCCTCATCCCTTCCTGCTCCTTTATCTCCTACATTCCTCTGTTCTTGATTGATCTGCTTCAGCTTAAGCTTCAGTTGGTACATATGGTCCGGGTGGGGAGTTCGACCCAAACCTATTTCGCGTAGGGTTTTGGTGGGTGAGTGATTGTTTGATTGGTTGCTGTGGGTTTCATTTGGATTGGATTCGGTTTGGATTCGGATTGAATTCGGATTCGGATTTGGATACCGATTCCGATTCGTATCCTTTGGGCTCGGGAGAAACTTTTGGAAAAATATCCATTCGCCTTTTTGTCTTTTAGAAGATTAATCATCGAAATGCGTTAACTTCTTCTGTGATTTGGTGATATGCCTTCTCCAATGTTTTTCTGATTCCGGTTCTAGTTAGATTCGTAATGGTTCTTTTATTATTAGTTTTTCTTATTTGTTTGCTTATACACTACGTTTAATTTTTATGGTTGTTTCTCATAATTTTTTTTCTCATTAGGATGTTTTAGCTTTTATATCCATTTTCACGCTTCGCAAGTTTGTTTTTAGTTTTATTTTTTTTTATTTATTTTTTTTTTTTTTTGTAGAAGATAATGCACTTACATTGAGGTATTTTAATTACTTTTTCAATCTTCTTCAAATTCTTCATCTTTTCTGCTTCTGCTTGTTTTCTTTTGTTTCTTCTTAAAAAAGAACTAAGAAAATGTGATATTTCAAAAATTGGGCTGTCCTAAAGCTTGTACACGCTTGTAGATGGTTTTCAGTTTTTATCCAAAATTTGTATTACTTTTATTTCATCCAAAATAATGTTCAGCTCAAAAGTTTCTCTTTTTTTTGCTTGTTTGACCGAAATGTTGTATTTTGTTAGGTTTGCTTTTTGTTTTTTGCCGAAATGTTGATTTTGCCTTGAGTTTTTTTGTGGTGTTTTTAAACTGTCTGCCTTCGAAGCAAGTGTTATACAAACAAAAGGGTTGGATTGCTAGGGTTTGGGGCTTTGATTTGATTTGGTTGACTGTCTGTTCGTTCAACTACCTCGTAACATTAATTCTATGGAATAGCAATTTGTTTAACATTTACGTTACAAAAAAAAATATATAGTTAATAATTAGATAATAGCTATATCAAAACAACACAAAATTGGGCTATTGCTATTGTTGCTTATTTTGGCTGGTGTAGATTGTAGTTTGATTGTTTGTTGCTCCGATTCAGTTACTTGGGTTGCGGCCTCTAGCTATGGTATTTTGGTCATACGGTTATGGTAATATATTGTCTGTTTCCGCTACATTTACGATTTCTACAAAATGCATCCATCGGTTTTGATTGCTTTGTGGCTATGAATTAGACTTTGATTTAGGTGCGGATTGGCTGGCTTATGTTCTTGTGTAGTGCAGTGTCCCATCCATGTATAACAGCTTGTCTCTCATACACGCTCAAACGTTATAACGTAACACTTAACGTTAACGATCGATTAAAAAAAATTAACATTTCAGCACCGTTATTTCATTTCTAGTTAGTTTTGTTTTCATTTCAAGGCAAACACATTACAATAGTTTTTATTAACACTATCTCTCGCTTTTTGCATTTGCTGTAGCGTTCTTATATCCTCTCGATCCTTTGTCTTCTCCTTCGCCTGCTTTCGCACTAAGTATAATCAACAATTCTTGTAACTCGTTCCCTTGCAAAAAAAAAAAAAAATGACTGGTATTCGTCGTATCCATCCTTACAAACAACGTTTCGGGCATCGAAAAAACTATTTTACAGCTGTACAGTACAGTAAACATTGCTCTCGCTGGCGTTTCTTGTTCCGTCCACATCCCTTTCTATCGATATAGTCCCAATATACACACTCATCCGTCCATCAATCCATCCAGTACAGCTCTTAACGATATTGTATACATAGATAGTGGTTTCTTTTTGGTGGTTTGGGGTTTGGGTTGAGGTCTGTTATACTACGTATAACAGTGGGTGCGCCAACAGTTGCATCAACTGTTGCACATTGTACACATAACTTTATCAACTGTTATACATTTGTTATAACCCAGAAATGAGTGCTTGATAGAAACATTCTTTACATTTTTTGTTGTGGATCGTAGGCTCAAAATAGTTATGTTTTTGTGTTTTTGACGCTTTTGTTGTTTTCCATGTCTGTATTGTTTTCTTTCTTTCTTTTTTTTTTTTTTTTTTGTTTGATTTTCCTTGGTTATAATTTTTGCTTGTGTACAATTTTCGGTTGTGTTGGAACCAAACAAATGTTTGTTCCTTTTTTTCTTTCTTGATTCTCAATCTCATGCTCTTGCGCTTTGCTCACTTCTCTTCTTCTATTCTTTCCACCTAAATATACGCTTACTAAATCTTTGTTAAAAAAAAATAATTAAAAATAAACGTTTTATATTTAAATATATTTAAAAAAAATATAACGCATACACTACTAAACTTTCCTTCTTTATCCTTTAATTTCCTTTCTTGCATTTAAATTGTGAGTTGATAAATTTGGGGGTTTTCTCTTTAGTTACTTTGACTGTTTGTGTTGTTGTTGAAAATATTGTTTACTTTAAAAAAAAACTATGAATATTTCAAGACATAGTGCCACACTGCCTTGAAAAAGAAAACTTGTTGGGCGGTGCCGAATTGTTAACCGACACAAAATTGTACACCTAACAGAACAACAACACAAGTTTGGGGCTGGGTGTTTTAGTAGTTTGGGTGATTGATTGCGCTTTCGATTTAAGTTTTCTCTTTATTTCTTAGTATGCAAATGAAGAATGTTGTTATTGTTTTTCTTGCTGTGTGTGTGTGTGACTTTTGCTATGCTTCTAATTAAAAGTTGCAATTCACTCATTAAAACCAGTACAGCTTCTTCGCACGGGAAACTTTTTGATGTACTTGGTGTGTTGCCCTATATGATTTTGTTTTTGTTTATGCTCCAGGTTATTTGCTTACTTTTGCCGTCGCCTGTGCCAGCACAAAGGTGGCGCCTACGGTTAGCATGTAATTACGGGGTTGTAAATAGTAGTGGGTGGGTGATTGTTGGGGGATTGAAGATTATGGGTGTGTTGTTGTGGAGGTAGTATCAACAGAAGAAAACCCTGCCTTGGCTATTGTTGGCGCTGTTGCTGCTGTCGTTGATATTGATGTTGCTGTTGCTGCTGCTGTTGCTGTTGCTACTGTTGCTGATGTTGCTGATGTTACTGATGTTGCTGATGTTGCTGCTATTAGTGTTGCTGCTACGGCGCCGGTGTTCTTATTCATCGATGCTTCCCGCTCACTGCTGTGAGCTCGCCAGCTGCTGCTGCTGCTGCTGGGCTGCGGCCGCAGTTGCATTGCCCGGTGGCGGCGGCGATGGCTGCTGCTGCTGTTGCTGCTGCTGCTGCTGCTGCTGCTGCAACTGGTGTGAGGTCGCTGCCGTCGACGCTTGCTGCTGATGGTGTGCAGGCGGCGTCGACGATGACGACGCAGACGACACTGGCTGATGATGCAATTGCGGCGGCAGCGCCTGCTGTTGCGATGGCGACTGTGGCTGCTGCTGTTGCTGCTGCTGGGACCCGCTGGTCGCAGCTCCGGCGAGGTTCTGTTGCTGTTGTTGCAATTGTTCTTTGGCAGCTTTCTGTTTTTTGGTTATTGGCGGCGGATTTGTCGACAGCATCATGGCACGGATGCGTCGCTGTGCAGACTAAAATGAAACGAATGAACGGAATTGAGGCGTTAATTGTGCAACAACAATTAGAATCCCCTTTCCCGCATCTACATGTGTCTACACACTCACCTGTACGCTGTAGAATGGTCCGATAATGTGCACCGGTGTCTCCTCATCGCCGCCGGATGGCGGTGCAAGTGCATGCTCCGGCAACTTGATCACGCTGCCCGTCACGCGCTGCAATTCGCGCACATTCTGGCCACCCTTGCCAATAATGCGACCCACCTAAAATCGAAATGAGTTAGATAAAAGTTTATAAAAGGCGTAAGCCGCGGCATGCCGAGAATTTTTGCCTTGCAAAAGCTAGGTTTCTTAACTATTGGCGACTCAAAAAGATATACAACTTATTTATTTAATTTGTTTAACATGTTTCACATTGAATTTGTAATCGCCAAACAAAAACATAAGTCTGTTCAGATAGGTTTTAACTATATTTTTAATAGCCCATCATCTACGTCTCGTACCACTAGTTAATTTATGTTTTTTATTAATTGAAACAAAAAAGGGACTACAAAAATAGTAAGACGGCTGTAAATATAATTATAACTGAAGAGTACTCTATCGATCGAAATGGTTTATTTACCTGAGAGCTCGCCACAAGCAATTCAACTGTGAGGCGCACGTCGTCCGTGCCACACATGAAGCCCTCTTCGCGCATCTTCTCGAAGATCATGTACTGCGCCTTCCACTGACCCTCCGGTGTGCCAACAATCGTCACCTTGCGCTCCGTTTGTTGGTCCAGCGGCTTGTCGGCGTCAAGGGGGGCTATTTTGAGGGATGCGTTCGAGAAGCGCATGATGCTCCGGATGTGCGAGCCCTTAGTGCCTATGATGGCGCCGACAGCGTTGTTCGGTATGTAGAGATAGGTGGTCTCCTGCAGGTCATTGGGGAAGACCGGTGGCACCACGCTGGCCGGGGTCTTGGACATGGCAAAGCTTTGACACGAGGGGAACGGCATGCTCGTATTGAAGACCATGCCGTTGCCCGGTGTCGACATCATTGCCATGGGATGGAGACCGGGGAACATGAGACTCTGCGGCGCCATCGCCTGCAGGTCGTTCTCGTAGCTTTGGCGCAGTTTGGTGCTAATCTGGTTCTCAGCACGCGACATGTTCTCAATCAATCCCTTGACCGTGATGATCCGCTCCAAATTGAAGCTGTTGATGTCGTTGATCGAGCTGACGGTGATCTTCGTATCGGTGTCCTGCATGATCCGTTTGATGGTATTGCCCGACTTGCCAATAATCCGTCCAATCAGATTGTTGTGGGCGAGTATTTTGAGGCAAATTTCACTGCAATCGTGGGAGAGTTGTTCTCTTTATAGCTATTTAGAAATTGTTTACAGCCAAGAGGCAAAGACGACAACCTACCCCTTATTCGTAGAGAGGGCCTCCTGCTGCATCACCTCCAGGATGCGCTTGCAGGCATTGGTGCAATTCTCCGGATTGCCATAGATCGTGATCGATTTCTCCAGCGAGCCAACGTTCTCCTTGCGATGGACGTCGACGCGAGCACGGCTCTGTTGTGTGATCGTCCTGATGGTGCTGCCCTGGCGGCCAATGATGGCACCCACCATCTCGCTCTGCACAAGGATGCGTAGCGGGAAGTCCGCCTGGCGTCCGGGGCCGGGCATACCCGGATACGGATTGCGCTGGTTGCGCTGGCTACGCCGCTGGTTCTTGTCCAGCTGCTCGGCATGCAGCTTGCTACCCTCGAACTCGACACCGTTTAGACCACCAGCAGCTCTGTGTGGGAGAAGGAATGATAGAATGGGAGAATTATTGATAAGTTAAGTCAAGTATTCAGCTGTCATGAGACAGTTTTGAAGAAATACAGCTAATCCCATCCCAGATCTGCTTATCTTACATGCAATTCCAACACATGTTGCTAACATTTTGAGAAACAGTTTAATTAATGCAAAATATTAATTGCAAAATTTTATACATTTTGCACATCTGCATCTTTAAACATTATGTTTAGCAATCCAATTAAAGGTATTCATATGGTATTGAAGTCACAATCGAATTGAGAAACTTCAAATTAAATACTTTAACATTTGATTTCTGCATTGTATATTTTCACTATTTTTCTTTTAAATTTTGTTGTAAATAAATAAATAGTTAGTGTTCCTTTCTTATATTGGATTGCCTTTAAACATTTATCATTTACTACATATTTTAAATGTTTAATTTGCCAAACTTTGATCGAAATTTGAGATAAATATGGCCATTTGGGTAATTTGGAAAAAACGCTAAATATGGGTAAAGAGGTAGGTAAGCCACACACAACCGCATTCGTCACAACCCCAAAAATAAACCCCCAAACATTCGCCACCCTGCCCGATAAAGAGAAATTTGTATCTGAATATATGCCTAACACTAGACTCTCACGAAAAACCTTTAAGAAATCAATGGTTCTCTATTGAGGTCTGGTGCTAGGTTGAAAAATCCGCTTAGAACGATTCTTAGATGAATAGTTTTTAGATGAGTAGTTTTGGGTATATACCTTTGCGCCTGCTCAGGATTTTCGAATGTTATATGTACTGTTTGAGTATTTTGATCCTTACTAGAAATAGCCTCACACTGTTTGACGATGCCATAGGGCTTCAGTAGCGGTTCGATGTCTTCGAAACGTGTTTGCATCGGTATGCCGCTTATTAAGATTTTTGATGTCGTAACACTGTGAAGAAAATAGCGTAAAAACACACAAGAACAAGAAAAACAAACAAACACAAAAGAAGCAAAAATAGTAGTTGTAGGTGTATAGTTGTTGTAGTAGGTAGAAATGGTAGTAGTAGTAATGATAGTAGTCCAAAAAACAAGAGGGAAGGAAGTGGGTGAGTGGGGGAAATGGGAAAATGAATTAGATAAGAAATTATATGCGAATAAAAGAAAAGTAGTAATAGGTAGTAAAGAGAAAGCAGTCGGGTAAAAGAGTTCTGTCGAGAAGCAATGGGACAAGTGTTGCCAGAATTTAAGCAAAAAATATACAAGAGTTATCTATTGTTTGGTGAAGAAAATGTAAAGCTCTCGCAGAATTTAAGCAATTCTAATTCTTAAAAAAGTCCATGTGTAACTTCCATGCCTAATAAACAAGTGTCGACTTTATACAAAAAATACATATCCATTTTTGTGGATTATATTAATTAACTTGTTAGTTTTTCCCCAGATTCTGGCAGCACTGAGAGAAGACAGATGATAAAAAAAAAAACACAAAGACAGAGCGAGATCAAGCAGCGCAACTAGCATCTAGCGATTGAAGCGGGCAAGAATACATTTTTGGGGAAAGCGGTAGGGATTAGGGTGGGAAGATAATCCAAGAGATGCAAAACACAAAAAGGAGCACAGATCCCCGGACACGTGAACGATTAAAAAGAGGATGGCAAAACTTTGTCGCTGTGCGAATGCGTGTTTGTGTTTGGGGTGAATGGGAAAAGTGCAAAAATGTTACATATACATTCAATTCCAAAGCAGGGCACAGAGAGCGAAATTGTGAGAGTGGGTGCGAGAAAAAAACAGGAAGTACATTCAACGCATACATATGTATATGTATCAGGAACTTTCACAACGATACTCCTACCCCAAATTTTATACAAAAAATGTAATGATTTGTTTTTATCACTTTATTATACTACAGTTTTTATTTATTTTTGAAGAGAATACATTTTTTAACCATTACGAATATAACAAAACTCTTTTTAGACCTACTGTTTGGCTTTGTAATTTAATTTAAGTTACCCCAACTTGCATCCGTCAAATTTTACAGATATTTTGTTCATATTTTGGAGATGTAACTAATAAACAGTAAACAATATTGACAAAGATATGAACATTGGCGTTAATCCTTCGTTTTTTTTCAATCCAAAAAAAATTTTGCATCATAAACCATTTGTTAAAAATGCATTCAAAGAAAACATATTAATTATGTGAAAAACGTCAAATCGATAAGGTTGAGTATTCATTTTGACATAAAGATGACAAAAACGAAAAATATTTATCTACAAATATTTTTTACACATAAAAAATACAATTCGATTGAGTATTCTGATTTAATACTGAACTGATTTTTTTTTCTGTGTACCAATGTTGTCGTGTTTTGGTGCCGTTGTTGTTGATCTTCGAAGAGCCCAAAGAAAGAGTAGGACAAAAATAAGAAGGAGAAAAGACGACGGCGATGGCAAACGCAAACGACGCCTGGAATGTTGCACATTTAATATCGTGTTTATTTTTCTTGGAAGTAATTTCACTCCCGTCGACGACGTCGCCACTAAGTTAACAAAAAAAAAAAAAAAGAGCACCCGAGAAAGCCACCAAAAAGAAGGGGGAAGAGGAAAGGAAAAGGAATGAAAAAAGAGTAGACGCGTGGAGCTTGCTCATTTTGTTTCTTTCATTCTCGCCTTGTTGTTGTTCTTTTTTTCTCTGTAATCTCATTCGCTTTTGTGGGTTTGGCACTTTTCTTAATTAACAGTTATAATTTTTTTTCGTTCTCACACACGTTGTTTGTGTTTTAACTCGCTTTCATGAATGATCTTTAATTAGCCGGCAGACCGCATGCGTGAGTTTCAAACATTGTGTAAGCTGGTATCATGAACCATGTTTTTATGAACTTCAAAGTTTGTATAATCATATTTATCATTTTATTTTTTTCGGAAATAACAGAAATTCAATACGTAAACATTTTTTTTAATATATGTTAAAATTTTGAACACAATGCCTCTCTTACGTCTGCAATTATATATATATGTATGTATGTATGTACATATGTAGATATTAAAAGCAAAACAACTATCAATTCAACGATAATTCAAAATTTAGACAGCAGTGTTCAAGACAATATATTTTTTAAGATAAAAAGATATTCTTTTATTTTAGTTTAGAATCATTAAAAAATCATTTTAAAAAATTTTTAAAAACTCGGCTTTTGTTACGGTCGTGAATCGTTCTTTACTGATGTTAGAAACTTTAAAAAAAAACATGATCATCTTCATTGTTGTGAGTTACAGTAAATGAAAACTAGAAGAGGGAGAACTGAGAAAACGAGATAAAAAAAGGAAAAAGATTGACGCATGCCGACATTTCAGCATTCCATTTGCCATTCACAGACCATCCGCTGCTTCCATGGCCCTCCCGGTTTACATTTTTTTTTTCTATTTTCTCCACTTTGCACTCCCGCTTTGACCGGTTTTCCTATACATATGTTTATGCCAGCAAAATTCTCATGCGATTTATCGGGGCCTGTGGCGCTTTTCCAGGAACCGCTGGCAAAACGTGGAGCAAATTCTGCCACCGTTTGCTATTTTTCCTTTGCTCCGCTGGAAAACTTGGATTCGCTGGAATCCGATACTCCCCAATGACGGTCAAACTGTGTCGGTTAACTGTAATTGCTGAGCATGCGTCACATCTGCTACGCGGTGTGTTTGTTGTTTTGCTTTTGATGCAAATGACAAGTTGCAGTTCGTTGACGTTGCGTTATGTTGTTGTTTTTTGTTGTGGTTGTTGTTGCGTCTAGCACACCGGCTGCATCCAATAAGAGAGGAGAGCGCATCGTTTTCTCTTTCTTTCTCTGCTTCCCTCTCTTTGTTCTTCTATCTCTGTTTCTCTCACTGTCATTTGACAGCAGACAGTGCAACAATTTTACTTTTGTTGTTTTGTTGTGGTTGTTTTCGTTTTACTGGGGTATTTGCCTATACACATATTTTCATGTGTATTGATGTTGTCTTTTTTTACCTGACATGTGACCGATTCTAAGCAAATGACCTCTGGCGCAATCACACAAACGCAAATAAACACGCACACATATTGGCACCTGGAAAAGCTTTGTTATCAATGCGCGACCTTAATGCGATGGCTTACAGTCGGGCAAATAAAAAAAAAAGTTGTAGTACATTGAAAACTTAACTAGCAGATTGAAAATCTTTGAACTGGACATATTTTAATTTGTAGCCTAAAACCTCCCATCCAAACATTGGACATATTTTGGGTATTGTTTAAGCAAGTTTAGCTCAATTAAAAATATTCCTACAGCAAATTATATAACCATTATAATTTTACCATAAAGTGACCGATACTACAAAATAATTATTAACCAAGTTTTTGGTCAAATAACGCACCACTTGAAGTTGAAAAACAAAAAAAAAAAAGTAAAGCACTATTCGTGTGCACACAGCTGTATGCACACGCATGCATGTACATCAGATGCAATATACAATACACAGCCAATTCCAATCCCAATCAATATACGACATTTTCAGCGCAATCGAAATCAACGTAAGCCGCCCTGGCGTATTTATTTCTTTTTTTTTTAGCTTTTATGTCTTTTATAAAAAGGCGGCGCTCACTGCAGTCAAACACATATGCAGGACGCTGCTTTATCAGTGCACGCGTTGCATGTGTGTGCTTTCTTTCATCCTCCTTTTTGTTTTTCTTTCTTTTTTGTTGTATGATTTTTATGAATGAAAAAGTCGGAAATCTGCTGGCTGATTTCTTTGTATTGCAACTTTATTTTTGTCTCATGAATATATTAATACTTGGCGCTTGCACACAATACGAATGTATTCCTTAACACTGCGCCCAGACACGCATGTGCCACATACATATGTATGTATGTATTTATGTGTGGTGTTCTATTTTCATGGCATTCCACAAGTTGCTGACAAACACCACACACTCACTGTCAGCCATAAAAAAACTACTAAGCTTAGTTTTCTCATTAGTTGCCGTTCCTTTAGTTTCTTGTTTTCCTTGCATTTTTATTTGCCCCCAAGCTTTTTTACCATTTATTTTCTAAAAAAAAAAAAAGTAGCAAAAACTGATTTGTTTTGTCAACTTGTTTCAAACTTGCAGCTGTATGAAAAGAATTATTTTTATGGTGAATTTATTGATTTTTGGATATGATACCGGCACTTCAATCACTTAAGTATTGTCATACATATATTTAAAAAAAAAACTTCTAGAAACAAAAAAATGGGGCAGCACTAAGGTTTAAACTCAAGACATCTTTTACTTTGCTCTAGCTTATCATCATTATATTATCAATATATTAAATAGATAAATATTCGATTTTAAATCAAGAGATACTTTTTTTCTGTGTGAGGGGTGTTTCAGTGATAGGGAAAATGCTGAGACAGAGGGAAGGAGGAACGATTGGTGCAACGAATACAGCAGCGAAAAGCACAACGCTAACATTGTTGCTGGCTGCTTTGACCTAAATTGGTGTACGTTGGTGTGGGAACGCTTCTCATTGCCACCCCCCTCCCACCAACACCCACAGTGAAATTCATCACTTGTCGCACATTGCGTTTTCCGATCCGAACAAAGTGAATCTGTCACCTTCAGTGTGCCAGGGGATTCACCAATGCAACCTTACGGTAATAGCATTTACATTTTATAACATCCGTCCGAAAAATGTTGTCAAATTAATTGCCTATTCCTTAAAATATATTTTAATGAATGTTAAAATATTTAAATGGGGTGATCCTAAGACATTTTAAAATATAAAGCACTGTCTTCTTATATCTTAAATCAAAGTTTACCATACATTTCATGACTTTCATCTATTTATTAAAAATCGTCACAGCTTTATTCAAAGGCTTTAAAATCACGTATTTTGAAATTTTGTAGCTATTATCTTAACCTTAATTGTGTATAGCCATTTCTATGACAAATTCGTTCTATTTTCCA